AATCTAGAAACTGCGGAAAACTTCGCACTTTTCTTAACCTGAAATCTGATGTTGTTTTTTCGTTTTTCAGGAAACAACGCAACTCACACGCCTTAAAGATGATCATAACCGATGGACATGTCTGCCTGCTCTATGGGTGTGACGGAGGTTCTTTATGTCACTAACACTGACATTATTATTCTTCCGACACACCTAAACAACTGTCAACAATATCCTGCGAGGGTTTAGTTGAAAACCTTTCACGGTGTACGGCAAAATGTTCAATCACTTGAAAATGAGTTTAACTAGACATATTAATTTTGAATTACCTCACCTAAGATGTTTCATTGTCCATTGTTGACACAGAATTGGTGAAGATTCGTAGATTACTTGTCTACCAAGGCAAGCGTAAGTTAGTAGATGAAATCATCAAACTTTCTGTGTACAGAGCATTGTTTTTTGGATCCAAGTAACCTCCAAATTGAGTCAGACACACAGTTATCTGGTGACTTCAAACCTCTACAAATTACAAGTCGGAATAATCCTGTGTCACCAGCCGTGTTACCAATAATCCCACGACCACGAGACCACCTGTACTCTTGAAAGCATGCTGACTGGTTCCTGAGAGCCAAAAACTGGCAAAGACAGAACTCGACAGCATAGTGAACATGAGAATAATCCGAACAATGAACTATACTAACTCCAAACAATGACATTTTATCATTAAAACCAATACAGAACATTATCTTCTAACCAACATTCATTAACTGACAGTTAACTTTAGAGGTATGATCGTCTTCAAAGCGACTTTGCAAAAAATTTACGGCCTAATCCTGATTACTAACAAGTGCATTAATTGTATGGATATAATCACTTCTTATGAACCTTATCGATTGTTGCATATCCTTTGGATTGTTAAACACCATGAACTCTCTTCAACGTACAATTTATAACGACTTCGGATGTCTCACTTTTGAGCATGCATAGTTTTAAAGAGATTCCTATAGCTAATCCAGACAGAGTACTTATCTCCGTCATCAGGACTTTGTTCTTCAACGACTTCAACACCATTTTATTAACTAAAACATATATTAATGAAAAATTTGAACAAACTCTAGAATTCTTGGGCATACCGTGAGCGCTCAAAACATTTTCTCTCCGAAAAATAAGGTAATATTTACCATGTAATACCCACAATTCACCAATTTTGAGCAGCTAAACAATCAGCAGACCGGCAAGGTTCTACTATGATTCACTGGCAGCTATGTCTCTCTTACGAGATCATTGAAAGATCAACAAGGATCGAACACAAAATAGTCGGACTGAATAACCCGATTCTCTACACAAAACGACTCTTTTCCGTTTGACTCTAGTTTCAGGTCACCACATGTATGCACTCATCGACATCTGGTGCATGTGATACAAGATTTGGGTGAGTATTACAGGATTGGGTAAGAGAAGTATGACAAACTTTAGCATTCTTCCCTAGAAGATTGCAAGATACTGAACGAAAGTATGGCAGTTTCGACTAAGGGGCACGCTTACCAAGCTCAGAAAGGTCTATAACTCACCATATCTAACAATCATATACTCTTGAAGCAATCCTTCAATTCGTTGACTGACAAGGATTCTCCTCATGAGTGTTCGTTACTGAGATACATTTCACAGTTTACTTTGGGTACAAAGATTATTTCTGGCGCAAAGTATATAGTTGTACATGCTCAATCGATAATAAAAACTGGTCATCTATACTAATTATTAGTTTTGATGGTTCATTAACAAGCTTTAATAGCACTTACCTGCTTCGGCGAAATAAACTTGTTTAAGCGTCAAGGTCTAACAAATATGACCTGTAAATGATGTAAATATATATTGACCAGCAACGTAAGCAAGGACTGAATGGTTATCTGGGCCTAATTCTTCATATTCTTTCTTCACTTAACATTTCAATTTGTTTTAAACTATGGACTATTCTGTAATATCTTTTTTTCGACCACTGCATGCCTAACTTCCAATTGCTGGATTCCGTAGCCAAACTCAGGATACGAATGCTAGAAATTCGCGATGAGTTTGAACTATAAATGTCCTGCAATCTTAGATCTCATGTAAACTTTTCGTTAGGGAATACTGCGTATTCGGTTTCAATTAATTTTAGATGTAAACAAATTCAGTCTACAATACTGTGTTAGTCCAAGAATTTAATCAACAGTGCCTCATATTTTAATCAGATTCGAACTGCTGTATAATTCAAATTCTCATCACTTGGAAGCAAAAATAACCTTGGCGAGTTTTGCCCTTTTTCTCTTCCTTGGTTCATTTACTGTGATTTAAGTACTTCTTAATTTATATAAATTTTCTCCATCAGACTGGTTGTATATATTTCATACAAGCCACTCCCAAGACTTAGTAGAAATAGTCAGTATTTTTATACTACAACATACTATTAGGAAAAAGTGTTTTTTAAAAGATATTCCTTAATTCTCGTTGATTTTGACATATATTTGAAAATATCACTAGGCTAAATGCAGGAACTTCTTGTAGAAATTTTATAACGCATCATATTCCTACCTAAAGTTACAAAAGTTGTCTTAACCATAAAATTATTTTTCTGGCCATGTTTATTACTTTCAAATTGTCATATAACTCAATAATCTGTATTTTAACCTGGCCCGTACGTGCGTTGCACTATATCTCCATGTCTTTTAAATTTAAAAATCATGTGAATCACCATTAAAATTTTTCAATAAACCCATCATAGTCGTTATCGATAAACATATTTATGTTTATGAATTTTTCTGCCATATTAGTAACCTAAAAAGACGAACATAATTTAAGTGCTATCAACTGCGCTAGTATAATAACTAGACTCTCAGGTAGTTGTTGGCTAAACAAACAATTAAAATCAAAACTCCGGAACCTACTACTAAAATTAATACTAGATGAATGTTCCTGAATTGAAAATCATGGTATAATTAGACAACTCGGATTATTTAATGCTTCAAACTTCTGTTATTTCAGAAGCACATAAAGCAACAATACCCATTTTCAACTGGCTACTCCTCAATCAACAACAACTAGTTAAAGATGATGGTTTCAGAATATCGTCATAAAAGCTCTGTCATGACTTAACGATCACGTAGTATGATTGATAAAATTGATGAAATTATTAACCTATCTAGATTAGGCAGTTACGTCATGACAAATTTACGATTTTAGGATCAAGTCTATTACTAGAGCAGTACTAATATCATAGTAGACCATAATTCTACACGCTCATATAAAAACAGTGAAGATTATGAGGCGATTGACTAACCAAGCCAAAATGTGACATGACAATAAATAAATTGGCTTGTAATGGAGCTAGAATAACTCATGTGGGCTTGGCGTTGTACCTTACATTGCAAATGGACGATTTCTTGTACTCACTAGAATGACTGCCATAAGATCTGGGATATAGAACGTTATCATGACGATTGGTTTGGACCCTGTAATGTGCCTGTTGATGGACTGAGAAAGTGGAAGTTTTATGGATGAGTGAGTATGTATAAGAAGGGTTGCAATGGTGATGGTCATGTGACGGTTAGGGAACTGGAGTTGTAGGTACTTCAATATCATCGGTGTATGCTGTGTAACGCACTGGAGACTTCATGCTAACAACGTTTGACTCATATTATCAGATTGTCTTCGTTTCAGATCTATGTTAATCGTTGTCCGTTGCCTTCATTATCAAAAGTAACTGCATTTTATGAGCTTACTGAAATTCGGACGAATTTTTCTATACCAGACTGAATCACAGTACATAAACTATCTCCAATTCGTACGGTAACCCACCAAGTGCTAAACGTTGCAATGGTTTGTGATTTGAGTGACAGAATGGTGTAGGCTACCTACGTCGACAGGCATAAGTAGTATGCAGCACTTACAGAGAGTGGAAAACCTGACAGCAGAAGGCTATGAAGGTTGACTTGATGAAAACAGAAATGGAATAAGTAAGGGATTGTGAATCAGAAGAGCCATACAGAATATGAGGGACAAATTAATGAACTTAGTAAATGGAGTACTTAGTGTCAGGTTCTCATATTTAACCAAGCGATTTTGTAATTTTGTATTAAAGTACATTTAATTGACCTCAATCGTATTCTCATTCGTTACAATGATATTAAACACAACTGTAGATATTATAAAGGGAGAGGCAGCATGTAACTAAACACAGTTCTTACAAGAACTATGGGGAATTATTCAGTCAATCTGTGTGATAATTGATGTTTTGTATTCGTTTAATCTATTTTGCGATAAGGTCATTTCAAAAATTAGATTTAGAATTAGTCGAATCAGGTAGATTTGCATTTTGATGCTTTCAGTTGATCATGTTAGCACTACGTTAATAAAGACGTCAGAAAACAGTCTAACGGTTTAAGAAAAGTGTTAACCTGGCATAGCTAACAGAAGAGCATTTTAAACATAACGATATATTTACAATACATGTTGCTGCCACCTTGCGTGTACATGACATCACTAGTTTATGCGTCAACATAAAATACGAATATTTGATGGGTGTTGAATAAACTCATCGTTGTATTAAACAGTATGGTGTAAACGGATTTGTCGACTAATGCAGTACCTGCAATGCTAGTAAGCTCGTAAGAATAGAGTTCTTACTCAATGATAAGGTCTATGCATAAAAATGTATGAGTACGCATTCGAAGTTAACAATAATGGTCCAAAAAACGTAGTGTGACAGTCACTATATATGTAAACAATTACTTAGTAATCGGCAAACGGTTACAAGGGGAGAATTTTAATATTGTGAAAAAGCAGACAAAAATAACGAAAAAGGGAGTTATCGTAGAATGCATCATGCTTCACAAAGGAAGAGTATGAACTTTCTGGTATGATCTTATGTACGATGTTAATATTCAAATTCATGTCAAATCTGAGAACAATAAGATATACATGTGAAAGAGGTGCATGAATTGCGCATATCAATTAAGCATAATAGTTTCAGAGAGTATTTTGGGCTAATGAAGGTGTCTGAAAAATCTCACCGTTCTTCTCTATTCGGTGGAAGATGTATTGCAGCTGATTCGACTCCTATAGTAAGTTTCCAAATATATTGCGATGTGAGAATGCAGTTTCTGTTACCTATGTTTGTATCACGAGTAAAAGTAGGTTTAACTCCTTGGACTCTAGTAGTGTCTTTCGTATCAATCTCGTCAAAAATAATGACTTCGTCGTTTCTTTCATTGACTACTTGACAAATACTCCACAGGTTGCGACGACTGTAGAATGCTAGCTTATCTGATTAAAAAGTCCGTACTATTAGCATCACGTCGAATAACATAATAAAGCCCGCTATCCACCTTTATAGCAACACCATGCAGGAGTCTCTAATCAACTCATTCGTGGAATATTCTTTATAGCCGTTGTCAAGTACCAATCGTGGTCGGGATGTTGAACCCTGATTCTTAACATTTGTGCTTTAAACTGTCTCATTCGTCCTGCCCTTAAGATTATAGATTAGGGCTTGTGTTGTGATGTAATTCGTTGGCTTGACCGCTTCTGGCCACGTCATCAGTGACAAAAGTTAGCAAACAACTGACATACAACAACAAGGTTAGAATCGTCAACACGAATATCAAGACAGTTCTCCTGTACGAAGCTGAAACTTAGAGAACTATCACAACCATAATCAAAAATGTACAAGTATTTATAAACAATTCCCTACGCAAGTTACTCAACAACAGCCTACTGTGTGAGAGAACAAATCATCATCCAGTTGATGACGACATCAGGGAAATACGCTGGAGGTGAAATGAATGTAAGTTGTGAAAATCACCTAACTGTTTATTTAGGCAAGCTCTAACTTGGAATCTTAGCCTCAAGGTGACCCCTGATATATAATACATTAAATAGTGAACACTTGAGTATGATAACGCTTTTCATCATGAGTCAGCCCATCTCTAACGTCCTCCCAGTTGGTGAGGTTACAGTACTTCCGGTTGTCCTAATGAGAAGAGGCTCAACAGTCATGTACGAACCCATGGATTATAGTCTTCGGTTCGGGATAGAAGCTGACTACAATAAACAAAGAGAAGTCACGTTGTTTGAAATTATCAGACCCTCTTCACTGTCTTATATTTTATCAATCACTGTTATAACTTTGCGTGTCCAGTTTATCACTTGTCATTTCTTATCAGCTGCCATTTTAGTACATTCTCTTATTTTCTTAGTTATTTATTCATGTAAAGAAATAGTTTGCTATCTTCCCTCGACTCCTTCCTATGAAAAATCTTACTCATTACGATCATTGGTTGAATGCTTCGTAATTTAATAGCTCTTGAGTATAAAGATCTCATTTCTTTGAATTAAAGGCATTCATTTTTACTCGAATACACTAACCTCTTAATAACCGTTAGATACATGAGGACTAATGTAGCCGAGCAACTAAGCTACCTATGTCGACTCATACCAACAGACCTCGAGAAGTGAGCGTGGAGAAATCAGCCTGTTCACGCACACATTTCGGTTATTGAAATTTACAGTATAATCGTTCAGTTAATTTGAATTCGTGCCATACAGTTTCTGTTCTTTTCCAAGTGTCTCGAAACTTGAAAACTAGTGAGAATATACTTCAATTATTCATACAGACCAGTTGTTTGACATGAAATGAAGTTTAACCGGATTGTTTTACTATTTCTATTCTACTCGGCTGGTATGGGTCGCAATTGTTTCAGTTACTCAATGTAGCTTTTTACGAAGACCGGGATTTAACAATACGTGGCGCGGTCATATTGGTTGTTGGCTCTGTTTGGATTTCCACGTAAGTGGAGCTGTTCAGTTTTTTGTAATATTTTCAACATTTTGACTATACAAACACAGAATTATCTCTTTTTCATGACTATGTTTAAGGTTTACGGATTTCAGACTTCGTTTCATGGCATGATCTACCCAGTCATCTGTCTAGCCAGTCCAAACAACTGGTTATAACCAACTTTGATGTGCAACGGTCCTGAGTTAACGCTTTCAGGTGGATAAAATTTGCTTTTATAACTGGGAATGTGGTTTAATATGTCATTCACTGATGCTAGTTAGATACACTGTTTGCTTTAGGATTTTGCTCGTCTTCTTGTACCGGGATTGTCTTCGTATTTACTGCTTTTTAAATAATATTGCAAAGCGCCGTGCAACAATCTATTGCAATTAAATACATCGGGAGCGTATATCATCTTTGGTTTTGCCATGATGTATGTCTTCATATATCAATAAATAAGGTAATTAGACAACTTTCTTCCTCTGCTTTCATCTTTGAGTTTAGCAAGAACCACGATCGCAACAGCAGAGTGATAGTTTACCCACTTCACAATTTATTATCGGCTACCTACTTGAAAATAGTGTCGTTAAATACTTCCCATATATGTGCATATGTAATATTACCCAAAACAAAAACGCTATCATCAATGAAGATTAGTAAGAGATAGTTACTAGGATGGCGAGACTCTAATTTAGGGACGAGCCAATCAGAAGCGTTTGAGCAATTTCAAGGTCACGGAGCCAAGTTCAACACGCGCTGCTAACGTACGATCGGTTCACAGCGGATTTTAGAGAGTAGGTGATTAATGCGAGGTTACAACAGATGGGACGGCGAAACTCTATTTTAGGGACGAGCCAATGAGAAGCGTTTGAGCAATTTCAATTATTAGCCAATCAGAAGACAGTATAAAGTAAAAATATATTACAAGAAAGTAATGAATTACAGTGGATATTCTTCTTTTACATGATTTAAAAACCTGTTGAGGTTTGATAAAGACTCAGAAGTTCTGAATTCATAATGCATATTGTATAGAAACTCGTCCATAGGGTTAGGGTTTGGGGTTAAAATTAGGGTTAAGGGTTAGGTTAAGGTTAGGGTTTGGGTTAGATTAGGATTTAGGGTTAGGTTAAGGTTAGGGTTAGATTAGGATTTAGGGTTAGGTTAAGGTTAGGGTTAGATTAAGGTTTAGTGTTAAGGTTAGGGTTAGATTAGGATTTAGGGTTAGGTTAAGGTTAGGGTTAGATTAGGGTTAGGTTAAGGTTAAGGTTAGGGTGGCGAGACTCTAATTTAAGGACGACCTTTGAACGAATTTTAAGTGACCTTGACAATTATTAGCCAATCAGAAGACAGTTAGTATAAAGTGAGAATATATTGTAAGTAAGTAATGAATTACAGTGGATATTCTTCTTCTACATGATTTAAAAACTTGTTAAGGTTTGATAAAGGTTCAGAGGCTATGGATTCATAATGCATATTGTATAGAAACTCGTCCATAGGGTTAGTGGTTAGGGTTGTAGCCTGTAAGTAGACACATCTCTAAAATCCGATATAAACCGATCGCATGTTAGCACCCTAATCCTAACCTAACCCTAACCTAACCCTAAACCCTAATCTAACCCTAACCTTAACCTAACCCTAAGCCCTAATCTAACCCTAACCTTAACCTAACCCTAAATCCTAATCTAACCCTAACCTTAACCTAACCCTTAACCCTAATTTTAACCCCAAACCCTAACCCTATGGACGAGTTTCTATACAATATTCATTATGAATTCAGAACTTCTGAGTCTTTATCAAACCTCAACAGGTTTTTAAATCATGTAAAAGAAGAATATCCACTGTAATTCATTACTTTCTTGTAATATATTTTTACTTTATACTGTCTTCTGATTGGCTAATAATTGAAATTGCTCAAACGCTTCTCATTGGCTCGTCCCTAAAATAGAGTTTCGCCGTCCTATCTGTTGTAACCTCTCATTAATCACCTACTCTCTAAAATCCGCTGTGAACCGATCGTATGTTAGCAGCGCGTGTTGAACTTGGCTCCGTGACCTTGAAATTGCTCAAACGCTTCTGATTGGCTCGTCCCTAAATTAGAGTCTCGCCGAAATTTCCATGGTACTCACTGATATCTCGCCGAGAATTAGTGCGACCATTTTATCACTCTACCAATGAAATTGATAGCACTCACCAAATTGAGTCACCAATTAAGTATGGCTTGGCAGCACATATATTGTGTTTCACCACAATTTGTTCCACGGTATACCTGAGTAGAAGAGTCTGTTAACAATACTGTCCCAACAACATTCATACTGTCATAAGTCATTTTAAGGGTTTTGATTGGTGAAAATAAGGTAAAATGTAAAAGAACACCAGTTATCAACTTCCTTCTGAACATCTCATATGGTTTCATCTGCATACGTGCCTTAAATAGATGAAACTTGATAACCACAGTCAATCTTGACAGGAAAATATTACTTATGCCTCGCTGATTAATATGCCATACTGTGAAATGAAGTGCAGTGTCGCGTTCTTAAGGCCTCAAAGCATCTGTTTAGTGAGCACATTAAGGTGCTAACAAAAGCGAGGATAGAAAACCAATATTTTTAATTTGTTCTGGTCAGATTTATTATAATCCCTATTATTGATGCTACTCTGACGTGGCGGTCGGGCTTGCTTATCGAGCTATACTAGCTAGAACAATCGTACCTCGGGGTCCGACTATACCAGACGAGTCGGTTGAAGAGCGGTAAAACTGAAAGCGGCAAAGTCATATTGCTGGCTGTGCAGAGGTGCGATGGCAGTAAAGTGTTTCCCTCAGGCAACCAGCATAAAAATGATGCTGCGTTTCCACATGAGGGGTGGTGTTAGAAAAGGTCGACCCTAAAGATGCCTTATCCCACGAATTTTCATCTCCGAAGGTAAGGTCTCGAAAAGTTTTTTTATTTCAACACAGATATTGGTACAAAGAGGCACCAAATACATAGGCGTCACACAAATCTCATTCGATATGTGTGAGGGCTGTGATACTGCCCGGGTACCCAAACCGAAGCAGGTGGTTTTCTTAGGGGGCCATTCCCCGAGCCTTCGACCTGAAGGTCTGATCCACAAGGCAGTGGAGCATCGTCAGGAGATACAGTCCCATGGAAGCCGGTGACCAACAATTGGTTCATACGCCATTTGTTCCCGCAGGATACTGGAGCCCATGTGCACCATTGGTTTGGAATCCGCTTAAAGCGCCAGACATTCGCTTTCCGTCCTCTCATTCTTGTAAACAACACCCCCGCCACGAGAAGGCAGTGAGTAGGACTTCCCTGGCAGAGGCTATATACGCGTGGCCATGTGGGAGCATTTCGAGAGGGAGAGCGGACTCTCTCCACTCTCGACCGTACCAGGGCATTTGGGGACTCTCGAAAAGTACAGACTTACTTACGCCTGTTACTCCTCGTGAAAAAGCATAAGCCGCTCACCAGCATTCTCTATCCAACCCTGTCCTGGACAATCCTTTCCAGCTCCTTACAGTTGTTATTCATCCTTTTCATATTTGCTTCTATTTACCGACGTAATGTGTTCTTTGGTCTTCCTCTTTTCCGTTTCCCTTCAGTATTCCAAGTTAGGGCTTGCCTCGTGATGTAGTTTAATGATTTGCGTAATGTATGTCCTACCCATTTCCATCGTCTTTTCCTAATTTCTTCTTCAGCTGGAAGCTGGTTTGTTCTCTCCCAGAGAAGGCTGTTGCTGATGGTATCCGGCCAATGGATGTTGAGTATCTTGCGTAGACAACCATTTAATAGTACTTGTATCTTCTTGATGGTGGTTGTTGTAGTTCTTCAAGATTCAGCTCCGTACAGTAGAACTGTCTTGACATTCGTATTTAAGATTCTCACTTTGGTATTGGTTGAAAGTTGTTTTGAGTTCCATATATTGTTCAATTGTAGGAATGCGGCCTTTGCTTTGCCAATCCTTGCTTTTACGTCTGCATCTGAACCTACTTGTTCATCGATGATGCTTCCCAGGTATGTAAAAGATTCTACATCTTCCAGAGTTTCTCCATCAAGAGTGATTGGATTGCTGTTCTCCGAGTTGTATTTGAGGACCTTGTGTATACCGAGACCTACTGATGCAGAGACTGCTGCTACACTGTCTGTCTTTATCTGCATTTGTTCATGTGTATGAGATAAAAGCACTAGGTCATCTGCGAAGTCCAAAATGTCTAATTGATTCTGAGCTGTCCATTGTATATCATGTTTTCCCTCAGATGTTGAGGTCTTCATAATCCAGTCGACCACCAGAAGAAAGAGGAAGGGAGAGAGTAGAGAGCCTTGTCTGATTCTAGCCCTTTCTTGGAATGCGCCTGTCAGCTGTCCTCCATGCACGACCTTACACTGGAGTCCGTCGTATGAGTTCCGGATAATGTTGACAATCTTCTCAGGAACTCCGTAGTGTCGAAGAAGTTTCCATAACGTCCTCCTATCTACACTGTCAAGTGCTTTTTCATAATCAATGAAGTTGATGTACAGTGACGAGTTCCACTCAACTGATTGTTCGACGATTATCCGTAGTGTCGCAATTTGGTCTGTGCACGACCGGTCCTTACGGAATCCAGCTTGTTGATCTCGAAGTTGAGCGTCTACTGCGTCTTTCATCCGGTTCAGCAACACCCTGTTAAAGAATCTCCCTGGTACTGACAGTAGTGTGATGCCTCTGTAGTTCTCACATTTGCTCAGACCTTTCTTTGGAATCTTGATGAGGTGTACTTTCCAGTCCATCGGCACTTGTTCCTCCTCCCAAATCTTTTTGAATAGAAGGTGAAGCATGTTTGTAGTTACTTCGATGTCTGACTTTAGTGCTTCAGCTGGTATGTTGTCGGGTCCTGCTAAACAAGTACGGAGCTAACACGAAAATTGCTTACAAAGAGGCCGTGTGTGATCAGCTTCAAGCAGTTGTCCCTTGGGAACTGCGGTCACGCTCTCAGGTCGCTAGGACCACGTCTAACCCAATTCCCTTTA